GGATGAGGACACAGAGGCCTCCAGTCTGAGGAAACAAGACCAGCTGAGGAAATGGCGAGGTGAGATAGCTGTGGCTTGTTCTGTCTCTCTGATCTACCAGCATGGACCCCAATAACTCGTCTCAGGTTTGATTTTATTAAAGAGAACTTTTAAGATTCCTGCTACAACTGAATGCGTGAACTGATGGGTATCCCTGATTTTGGTTTCTCTCCATGAGAAGATTCATGTAAAAATTGATGACTTCATCGTTGAGCCACTGGGTCTCCTTTAGTGTCTGGATGTCTCCTCGTGTAATTCGAAGTTTGAAGGCACAACTCAAGATCTCATCTTCTGGCCCTGGACCTAATGCACTCCTAATTTCCTTTTCCATGTCTGCTGTGACATCGGGGCCATGGTCCAGTCCTCTGCCCTTCTCTTGATCTGCAAGAGCCTTTTCCTTGGCCTTAGGTATTTTGTTGTTGAGAATGTGGTTGCTGACACTGTCTGGGCCGATTTGGACCTGGGCTCCTCCCAGAAAGTCGGGCTGGGGGTGGTGTCCTCTGCTGTCATTGTTGAGGTTTGTTGCAACAATCTCCTCTGCATTGGAAATTTTCTCCTCTGAAGACCTCTTCTCACTCTTCACTGGTGACTGACCTTCTCTCGTGACAGCACAGGCAGATTGCTCTGGCTCAGAGTGAGTTGGTTCCGATCTGTGAATCTGTCCCTCCACACGGCCTTTGATCTTCTTCGAGGTGTCCACAGGGCTTGTGTGAGCACTGTGAGGGTCAGAGCTCACATGATCACCGGGTTGAGCAACAACCCGGTACTTTTCCAGCAGCCTTCGGTACTTTTCGTTGTCATGTTCCTGAACACCTTCCTCTGTGTTGCAGCAGGAATGTTTGCGACCCTTCCCACCATCCACAGACTTCACCTCAGTCAGGGCCTCTTCCTGAGAGCCTTTAGTGCACTCTCCGGGCTTTAGCTGTGATGGATCCTCTTCCTGGGGTTTCCGTATCTGACCCTTGCCGGGTTCTTCACACTCAAGCTCAATTTCACCCTGTTCCTGTTTCACCCTCCTCCTAGGCTCAGCTGGCTCTTGAGTCTGTACAAGGGTTCCCCACTCTTCCTGGCGTTTCCTCTTTTGTCCTTTCCGGGGGTGTTCGGGGCTCATCGTTTCACGCTGCCGGCGAGGTTGCCACCCACAGGGACGACGTGCATTGCCTTTGCTCAGGTGTCTGCTGTCTGCTGTGGTGCAGCCTTCTGATTTCCAAGTCCAAGTGCAGGTCCTCCAGAGTCTCGGTGGGTGCTCTCGGGTGGTTGCCCTCCGGATGGCTGAAGGATCCCTTCGTCCACTCAGAGATGTCGTGTCCACCTGGACATGTTGGTCCAAGGTCAGAAAGCACCTGGTGAAGAGCTCAGATTCCCTCTTTATCAGAGGAGGTCGCCTTTAGTGTGTGTGTGTGTGGGGGGGGGGGGCAGTCGGAATGTGAAGTCACATGGAGGCGACGGTATCAAAGGGTACTTTTCACTTGGTGACTCAATCAATCCAAGGCCGTCTTTACGGTGGCGGTTCACCAGTTCCCACTGCGGGAAAACCCCTGAAGAGTTCAGGCCCTTGGGGACACAATCCAGAAATCACAACAAACCAACTAACTAGTTGCCTTAAGGCACCAGGCCTTGGCAATGCAGCCGGCACACTGGAGACATGCTCCAGGACTGATGACCGGATCAACAGTTGTCTTGGCCACAGCTTCAAGGATCCAGAGCTGGTTGTGATGCGATCTGACAGATCACAAATCCATGTTCCACACTGGACTGAGGCCCTGCATGGTGGTTTGAAAGAAAATGGCCCCCCAAAGGGAGCTCTATTAGGAGGGTGGCCTTGTTGAAGTAGGTGTGGTCCTGTTGGAGGAAGTGTGTCACTGTAGGGGTGGGCTTTGAGGTCTCCTATGCTCAAGCTACACCCAGTGTCACAGACTGCTTCCTGTTGCCTAAAGATATAGGACTCTCCAGCACCATGTCTGCCTGCATGCCACCATGTCCCCCCATGATGACAATGGACTGAACCTCTGAAACTAAGTTGCCACCTCATTTAAATGCTTTCCTTTATAAGGGTTGCTCTGGTCATGGTGTCTCTTCACAGCAATAGAAACCCTGACTAAGACACCCTGCCTACTACCACCCAGGTGCAGGATCTTAATTAAGCTCTTCCCCCCAAAGCGGCACCCTAGTACTGTCTGCCCATGTCTGAATGGCCAAAGCTATTCCAAGGCCAAATCAACACAGAGAGCAGAGGTCAGCTCTGCCTTCAGAGAGAAAATACTGAGTAGTTCAACTTACCACACTTTGTTTGCATGGGATCTGAGGTCTGACAGATGGCATTGGAATCCTCACACTATACACACATTCCTATTCCTCTCTGTTGAGCTCAGGTAGGGTTACCCTTAGACTCCTTCAGGTGAATCTACATAGGTGTTTTGCCTTGCCCATGAAGGTGTAGTGCAGATAATGTGTGGTTCTCCCAGGCAGAGGCTTAAGAGCCAAGCCATAATTCATCTCAGTCCCTTTCTGCTCCCTCAGCTATGGACACTGGGTCAAGGTCAGTTCATTCCTTGAGTGAGCAGTGACCCCTGACCACTGTCAGTGAGCATTAAGGAGATGAGCTTCAGCTGTGTAGAGACGCTGAGCGTTGAGGGTGGTTTGTCCTCTCCATCATGACCTAGCCAACTTGTGTGGTGGCGCCCACCTCTAATCCCAGCACTCGGGAGGCAGAGGCAGGCGGATCTCTGTGAGTTCGAGGCCAGCCTGGTCTACAGAGTGAGATCCAGAACAGCCAGGACTGTTACACAGAGAGACCCTGTCTAGAAAAGAAAGAAAGAAAGAAAGAAAGAAAGAAAAAGAAAGAAAGAAAGAAAGAAAGAGAGAGGGAGAGAAAGAAAGAAAGAAAAAGAAAGAAAGGAAGGAAGGAAGGAAGGAAGGAAGAAAGAAAGAAAGAAAGAAAGAAAGAAAGAAAGAAAGAAAGAAAGAAAGAAAGAAAGAAAGAAAGAAAAGAAAAGAAAAGCAGGTGTCCCCCAGACTTGCCTCCAGCCAGTCTTATGGAGGCATTGTCTTAACTGAGGTCCCCCCTTCCCAGATGACCCTAGCTGTGTCCAGCTGACAAAGCAAAGAGCCAGCACGCTAGGAAAGGGGCTGGAGTGACAGAGAGTTAAGGGCTTAAAGCAGTTCGTCTCGGGACTCCTACCAAGTGGCGGAATCAGAGCTTGAACTAGATGATCTGGCACCTTGCCAGAGAGATGGCTCAGCAGGCGCTACCCATCAGGCCTTACAACCTGTGCTCAAGGACCCCACATAGCAGAAGGAGGGAACCGGTTCTCCCAAGCTGTGGTCTGGCACCACCACCACCACCACCACCACCACCACACAAAGTGGCACATGTCCTTCCTCATCAAATATACAAACAAAATATTTTATAAAACCCTTCTGCAGATCAAAACAAGAGAGTTCCATGCTCTTGCCGTCTCTTTTTTCAGCTGCCTCAACATCTAGTTGGGGACTGGATCTTGAGTCTAAGCCCTTTGGGAGTAAAATCTCATCTTACAATTGATCTATCTCAATTTGGGGCTTTTTGAAGATGCTCAAGAAAATATGTGTGACAAATTAAACAAATTAGAAAAAAGATAATTAGCTGCCAAAAGGTTAAAGGTATTTTCCCCCTAGTATTAAATTAAAATCTGATAGAAATCTAAGACAAGACTATGAGACCACTATGAAGGAATCAGGTTCATTGTGGACTGACTTGCTCACATCGAGAAAAATGTACTTGGTGTATTGTGAAAGCAGTACTTTAATATTAATCAGATAAATCAATACCAAGTGTTAACATAAATCGGATAAAATAACATACATCGGTTCTTAATAGTTTAGTCAATGAACCAAGGAGTATTGGGAGATAAGTACCATCTCCTCATGGTAAGTCAGACTAATTTGAGATAGAAATGGACGGCCCCTCTGTCCTCTTCCACAGTTCCCTCTCGGCCATCGTCAGAGACAAATGTTGTGCTGAGGAGAGCAAGAATGTGGCTCACAATTGCATTACAGTGGTTCTCATGAATAATCAGTGGTCATCGATGATAGCAAATGTCACTCGGGCATGTACTCTATGTCAGCCACATGCAAAGCACCTTAAAGGGCGCTCAGGTATCATAAGAAAGGCAGTACTGTTTGTCTCTCACATAGGAAGAGATGGAGACTGAGAAGGTGATAGGGGGTAATGCATTTGAAACACATGAGCTGGAATTTATTTACGCAGCTCTTTTGACCTCAAAGTCAGCTTCTTTAACTACTCAGCACATAACCATAGCCACCCCTCTGCAGAGGTATGTGATAGCTTTGGAAGGTTTTGGGGGTTTGCAATAGGAAAAACATAGTTACCTCAATAGGCAAGTTATGGGGTTCCTGGGCATGGAGTGCCAAAGGGAGATGGGGTGGAGTTGGTGACTGAATCCCAAGACTAAGCCCTTTGGAAATAGAATCCCATCTTACATTTTATCTATCTCAAATTGGGTTTTTTTTGTAGATGCTTTAAGAAAATATAGGTGACGAATTAAACAGACTAGAAAGTACATAATCAGGCTTGCTGGCTCACTCTGTAATTTCAGCTACTTAAGGGACTGGGAAGGGGTACAATCTGAAGGCAACATAACAAAATACTCCCATCCCATTAAAAAAACAAATCACCAAGAAACAATAAAAAGTACTTTTAAATTCCTCCATACTGCAGCTCTCTACTCAAGGTTTTTGGCCTTCAAAGCCTGAGACAGGTCTCTTGCTATTGATGAAGTCTAAGGGCAGGCTAATTTGGAAGGCCCTGTTGGGTGTGGGAATCACGCAAATATTGGAGACAAGGTCACTAAAGTTAGATGAGCAGAAGCAACTTAATTTCATCTCTGTGGGGTACCAAACCTAACAAGTTAGGGCCCCAGTCAGGTGGATCTTGGTGTGAGGCAATTTGAAATAGTCTAAAGGAGTCATTTGTATTTTAATGGACACAGCTCCATTCACAAAACTAGTCATTCTTTTTGGAATATGTGGTGGATTACTTTGTGCTAGCAATTTTCATAGATTTCAAAAATAGCTCATCTGCTAAGACTTCCTTAGGGACTGGTAGACTGGAGCCCAAGTAGAGTGTAGTGGAAAAAAAAAAAACTACCTGGTAGGGACCACAGTGAGATTTCTAATTACCCACTGGGTAGATCTGTCACATTCCAAATGTAAAAATAGCTTCTACTTAGAACTAAACTACAGATGGTGAAATGTAGGTAATTGTGGACATTGGGCATTTTGGAGGAAATCTACTTGGATATCTTCATATTTTGGACATTTTATCAGTATATTCCATGCTTTGGACCGGCTGTTTGTCCATCTTTTATACTGTCTTAGAAATACTCTCAAATAGGCAGTTAATTAAGCTGTAATTATCTAATTGCTGTCTTTCCCCGTTGCAGGAGGGAGGCTTAAAGTTGACTGTGCATAGAGAGTGTTAAGTCCTGGAAGGAAGTTGGCAAACACTGAACATCTTAGCTTTTTCTAGCCTTACTTCTACTACTCAATGTCCCATTAGATACGTGGACCAGCTGGTCATCTACCTGTACATGTCTATTAACTGGGTGGTAGATTTTGTAATGGGCATCCCACCCATATTTTCAATTCCCATGAAGTAAAAAATGAGACCTGATTTTGAATTATTTCAAGGGAGAAACAAGCAGGGAAGAAGAAAAGAAGTTATAACTAGTTATCTATAATGGAAGGTGAAAACATACACTAAATAGAATGTTCCAGGAGCCCAGAAGAGGAAGTGACATTCTGTCAAGAAGACACCATGGGCGCTTTCATGAGAAGGTGAAAATCTTAAAAGACAAAGTGACTTTTCTAAACAGAATGAAAGTGTGTGTGTGTGTGTGTGTGTGTGTGTGTGTGTGTGTGTGTGTGTGTGTGTGTTTTCCAGAAGGAGAGAATTGCATGCTGGCACTTACCCTATAAGCCCAAGTCGGCAGAACCAAGGAGGGCCTCTTCAGGGATGGCCTGTGGCCTTTCCGTTTCAGGATGTTTTTACAGGTGGTTTGTTTAAACTAGAATCTAGCCAGGAAGCATGTATTATATGCTGGATGCTTCCGTCCCTCCCAGCCTCCTTCCCACATGGTGCATATATGTGTTTGTGTGGGTGTGTGCACAGGTGTGTGCGGGTATAATACGCGCACATGTGTGTGGAGAAGTTGATGTTGCCGGGTGGTGGCCTTTAATCCCAGCACTTGGGAAGCAGAGGCAGGAGGATCTCGATGAGTTTGAGGCCAGCCTGGGCTACAGAGAGAGTTCCAGGCCAGCGGGCTACACAGAGAGACCCTGTCTTGAAAAACAAAACAACAGCAGTGAAGTTGGTGGTGAGTGTTGATGGCTCCGCCCTGAGCCTGGAGCTCACAGAGGTGGCTAAGTGGATGGGCCAGTGAGCTCCCGGAATCCTCCGCTTCCCAGCAGCGGTGGGTTTGCAGGCGTACACTGTCAGGCCCGGCTTTCACCTGGATTCTAGAGGCAAACACTTCACCAAATGGACCACCTTCCCAGCCTACATATCGCTCACTACCCTTTTCATACAGACAATGTAACCCTAAACCAAATAAAACAAAGAGCACAGCGAACCTCCCAATGTCCACCATCACTTTATAATGACAGACAGACAGCTGACATTTTACCTACCTTCATCTAAATATCCCAGCAGAGTGTCATTTTAATACAACTCGGACCTCTTAGTATATCATCTGGAGATACATCGGTGTTGGACAGTATAAGGACAAAATTCTAAAGCAACTGCAGTGCCAACATCACACTAAAAAACAACAGCAAAAGGCACATGTGTGTGCTTTAAATCCAGCATTTGGGAGTCAGAGGCTGCAGATCTCTGTGAGTGCGAGACCAGCCTGGTCTACACTGAGTTCTGGGACAACCAGGGCTACATAGTGATACTGTCTCAAAAAACAAAATAATAAAAAAAAAAAATGGTTTCTTTCTTTCTTTCTTTTTGGTTTTTTCGAGACAGGGTTTTTCTGTGTAGTTTTTGCGCCTTTCCTGGATCTCACTCTGTAGACCAGGCTGGCCTCGAACTTACAGAGATCTGCCTGGCTCTGCCTCCCGAGTGCTGGGATTAAAGGCATGCGCCACTGCTGCCCGGTCTTTTTTTCTTTTTTAAATCCCTCCTACCTAGTGTGTTTGTGAGTGCACATGTATGTATTCGTGCTCTCCTGCACTCGTGTGTGTGTATTGATGTGAACATGTCATGCCATGTGTTTGCAGGCCAGAGAACACCTTACTGGATCTAGTTCTGTCCTTCTGCCTCAGAGTTCAGGAGTTGAACTCAGGTCGAGCTTTTATCCACCAAGCCCAGAAGTGTGTTGTTTTGTTTTTGCAAGTGAGCGTGTGTAGAGGGGGATCCAGCAATGCTTGGTTGGGTTTCTCTCTCAAGTTCCCTTTACTCTATGAGAGCTCTTCTTCTTTGGCTTCTGTTCATATATTTGCTAGTAACACTGGGTCACGTGTCCTGCAAACCCTTCCACGTTCTGAAAATGCCCGATGGCTCCTTTATCGAGGCCTCCAATACTTTTCTTTCTCTTCATTTCCTCTGAACTAGGATGGTAGGGGGCAGGTTTGATGGTCTAATGGAGAAAAGGGAGCAAATATATGCTCAGTTTCCACAGTAGTTACACGCCATGTTCTTCCCTCCAATACTGAGGACTGAATTTGGAGCCTGACAAAGGCTAGGCAAGTGCTCTACTATCTGCATACATGGAAAGTAATTTTTTTTTTTTTTTTGTATTTTGAAACAAGGTCTCATGTAACGCTGACTGGCCTTGAACTCACTATGCAGCTGAGGCTGGCCTTGAATTCTTGATCATCCTGCCTCTACCTTCCAAGTACCAGGATTAGGGGTGTGTGCCACGTGCCTGGCTCCTAAATGTTATAATTTTTATAAATTGAACTTGGGTAGATCCTGGTAACTTTTCATTGGTGTATTTGCCTCTCTTCAATACTCTAAGTTAAATATAACTTTTAAAATATAATTTTTAAATTTATTAATTTTCATTTTAGATCTTTAAGTTTTACATGTGCATGTGCATGTGAGTGTGCGTGCGTGCGTGTGTGTGTGTGTGTGTGTGTGTGTGTGTGTATGTGTGTGTTTCACCTGCATGTATGTATGCATGCCACCACTTGCATTCCTGTTGCCCATGGCCATCAGAGGAAGGCACTGGATCCCCTGGAACTGGAGTTCCGCATTGTTCTAAGTGACCACGTGGGTCCAGGGATCTGAACTCAGGTCCTCTGTGGCAGCAGCCAGTGCTCTGAACCTCTGAGCCACCTCTCCAGCCCTGTTATTTCCTTTCTGTATTTGTGAAGAGAGAAGATGAAACCGCATGATATCAGGAAGAATTTTTTATCTCATTTCTTAGTGCTGGAGAAGTCTGTAGCAGAATCCCTCCTGAGTTTTGAATGAATGGTTGGGGGGCATGCCTCTAATGATTCTCTGCTTTTGTCCTTGATTTTCCAGTCACATACACTTGCTGCTGGTCATTAAGTGGGAGGAGGTTAATAAATAAAAGTTCCAAAAGGATACATTGAGACTTTTTTCTTTTCTTTCTTCTTTTTCTTTTTCTTTTCTTTTCTTTTTTTTTTAAATAGGAAACAGAGCACTTTGGAGAAAACAAAAAACAATTTCTAAAGCTTCAGACCTAGATTCTGTATTCATAGACTAACTATTGCGGCTCATCGTCTCCTGAACAGAAAAGTCTAAGTTTAAGCCGGTTAATGATGCAGTTTTGAAGCATTTTGTTCCCTAAAGAATCTATTTTCAGCCCAGCATGGTGGTGCACACTTTTAATCCCAACACACAGGAGGCAGAGGCAGGCGGGTGGATCTCTGTGAGTTCAAGGCCAGCTTGGTCTACAGAGCAAGTTCCAGGACATCCAGGGCTGTTACACAGAGAAACCCTGTCTCAGAAATTAAAAAAAAATTATTTTCAAAATGAAGTTGAAGGGGCTGGCAAGACAGCTTAGTGGGTCAAAGTGTTTGCTGTGTGAGCCTGGGGCCGACGTTCACCCCCAGATCCCACTGTGAAAGGAGAGAAGCAACTCCCAAAAGTTGTCCTTTGCCTTACACACATACACACACACACACTCACAGATACAAACACAGACCCACAGATACCCCCACACAGACACAGGCACACACATCCACAAACATATATACACCCACAATAAACACACACCCACACACCCATACACAGAGATACACACACACACACACACACACACACACACACACACACACACACGCACACACACACATTAAAAACAATGAAGTGGAGAGGGATGTGTTTTAACAAGAACACCGTTGCTATTTTTTGAATAATTCTGTAGTGTAAATGGTTCCTTGGCCTCTGTGGTCTGTTGTGTTTTTCGTAGGAACCAGAACAAATAGAGGAAGAATTGAGAACAAGAAGAGAAACATGTCCCGGTGGAGAATTGTGAAAACAACTCCCATTAAATTTGCCCTTAGTATAGGGGGTCTATTTCCCCAAATAAGTAGGCGTTGTGTTCAATGAGATCAATATTTTTTTTTCAGATTGACGATTACCCAGAGTTTTTGAATTCGCCAGATAGAGAAATCAACCAGCACATTCGTATTGTCTACTCCTCAACGGTCTTGAAAAAAGAGCGTGGAAAACCCAAAGGTGTGGGGAAATTCCTGTTTCCAATCCACCACAGCAGTGTGAACCCAAAAGGTAGGTAGTCCATGACATGAGAAAAAAAATCAGCTGCCTTTTTTTTTTTTCTTTTTTGAGACAAGGCTTCTTCTCTACCTTTTGATACCCATAGCTTTTAAAAGTACAGCAGGTAACGAGAAAGCTTATGAACTTGGGTCTAGACTATCCACTGGCCATCCTGTGAGTCTTGGGCCTCCCACCAGGAAGGGATGGATATTTAACAGCTTTTGTTCTTCAGAAATAGTGTTTGGAACTGGGTGTGGGGGCCCCTGCCTGTAATCTATTAGGTATTTTCAGAGACTTAGCATCTAGGATGGAGATTAACTCTGGCTGTGGCATGGACAAAGGGGATTTATAACCAAGGATCAGGATGGGGTCATTGGATGGGAAACTACTAAGAAGAAGCATCCAAGTCATGAGCATTCAGCCAATTTGACCAATCAGGATTCTTGCTGAAGGAAGGCTGGGGTGGTCAGACATTACCTGGGGAACTATGGAAGATGGGGGAATCAAATCAGATACACAGAATGACCAAAGATAGAAGATGAAGGTTCTGGGATTCTTAGTTTTGAGATAGTTTTTGCTGTATAGCTCAGGTTTGTGGTTGAGAGTACTTGCTGTTCTTACAGAGGACCATGGTTCGGTTCCCAGCACCCCCAGGTGGCTCGCAGGCATCCATAACTCTGGCTCTAAGGGATCCAATGCCCTCCTCTGACCTCCATGGGCATCAGACAGAGAGGTGGTACACATACATACATGCAGGCAAAACACTCATGCACATTAAGTAAGTAAACAATAAAAATGATTGCATCCTTAGCACAGGAGGAGACGTTGGAAATGGAGGTCTGAGGTGACCCGTGGATAGGCCCTTCTTTGAGCACCCAAGTAGAGCAACCTAGTCACTGTCCATAGACTCCACTCCGAGTCAGGAGGGGAGCCTTCCAGAGTGTCGGGCTCTGGAAGGCTCTCCTCCTTCCTTCCACACAGTGGAAGGAAGTCGGATGATGTTTTTCCCTTTAATGGACCAGCCGCTCTGCACACGGATAGCTACAGCATGGAGACTGTTTGTCCCCGGCATAATTAGCAGGGTAATGAAACCCCTGGTGGCTCACCTGGTCTCTTGTCACACTAATTAGGGTATCGAACTGGTGTTGCTTGCCTTAAATGCATATTCCACCCGCCTACAAGCACCGTTTTCTTGGCTCTTTTTCAGCATGGGTAGGAATGTGAAACCATATTAAAAAAAAAACACGATGAAGTGGGTTGACGTTCAGTGAAATTGAAGTGCCTGGAAACTTGGCAGACGATATTAAACAGTGAAGAAATGATGTTGTGTACTTGTGCGTGGCTAATCACAGAGTCCCTCTGTCTTCTGCTCTTTGCTTTCACCCCCCAAGATATTATCTGACACATTTTTCGGCAAGCTGGCGTCTGCCTCCTGAGTGCTGGGATTAGAGGCGTGCGCCACCGCCATTCCTGGCCCCCTCTGACTGTCCTTTGAAACATTGTCCTACCACCAAAGAAGAGATGATACACATTAAAAGATAAAAACCATTCATCATGCCTACATTGATGTTCTCTGCATTTTCTGTTGTCCTGTACACTGTCTGGTTAGGGTATTCCTTTATTGTAGGACCCCATGGTTCACCTCCTGTAGGACTCTGTGGTTCACCTCTTAGATGCTGTTATGTGGTCCTACAGTAAGGGGTAGGCTCACGCCTCTCTGACCAACTGTGTGAAAACAGTCATTACCAGTCTTTCATGTTAAGGATGATGTCATTCATGCCAAGAGAAGCAGCAAGCATTAACTACTGAGAAGTTAAAGGTAATCATTAGGACTAACACCAACCTCTTGGGGGAAAGCCTGGGGAGTATTTTTATCATATGGCAAAGGTGTCCACTCTCCAGTCACCTTGATTATCTGAACAAAGGAAACTCCAAGTACAGATCATCTGTAGTAAAACTACTCGGTTTAAATCATCAGACATGGTGGTTAGGCCCAGCTTTTTCCGGGGGTACAGAGAAAAAGCAGTTTTTGCCTTATGAGCATGCCTGTGTCCTTATGTGGGCCACAGTCAGCATTTGGAATTTTCTGTTTAGATGCAGGGTGGTTGTTAAACGTGGCTCGTCAGGCAGTGGTGGCACACATCTTTAATCCCAGTACTGGGGAGGCAGAGGCAGGCGGATCTCTGTGAGTTCGAGGCCAGCCTGGTCTACAGAGCGAGATCCAGGACAGGCACCAAAACTACACAGAGAAACCCCGTCTCGGAAAAACAAACAAACAAACCCCACACCTGCTGCCAAGCTTGACAGTCTGTTCCTTGGAGCCCACATCATAGAAGGAGAGAACTGACTCCTGCAAGTTGTCCG